CGCGCATCTTGTCCAGGACAAGTTGCACCGGCTCTCCCTCTCCAGCATCAACATTGCGACAACGGAGGTCGGGGTGTGCAGTTCCTTCGACACGGTCCACGCCTTCCGACCGCAATCAACCTCCAGCAGCAGGTGCATGACATGGTGATGCTGGTTCAGATCCAAACTCTACGACATCAAGTAGTTGCGAGCCGAGGCGCGCTCGTCCCAATATTCCCTGCAGCGCCGGGTCAATCGGTCTAGGCTTCTCCCCAATCATTAGTTTTAGCAAACCGATCTGACGGAAGAAAAGTTGCATTTTCCAGGCCCAATCATCATAGCCCTCACCATTGAAATTTTCGACGGTGAAGTTCTTCAGCACCTCCTTGATTAGCGAGGCCTGGTTTGTTCACGCTCCCCTTGGCGCTGAAACACCAGAATCCTGGCTGCTGCTACAATCTTGGGCTGAAGATTCACCAGCCCCCGCCAAGCTATTGCTCGCCATAGCTACCTATAACGAGGATGACTATAACGCAGCTTTGATACCAGCTTGTTGGTGTAAAGGGCCTAATAAACTCAGGCTATTATGACTTAATCAAACCTCTCCTCAAGGTCACCTCCAAGCATCCTTGGGTACAATAGCTTTAAAATAAGCCAAGTTGCATCGCGAGAAGTTCTACCATTGCAGAGTTATGGCTCGGATAGCATTGGCCTAGCCTCGTAGTGCTAGCAAACTAGCGTTAACTCGTTAGCATTCCGCCGTCCCACTGCATACAAACGAAATTCCAGCAAGGAAGGAATTCACTTGAATCAAATTGACTATATCCAGGTACAAACACAGAAGGAATAAATAGTTGTGAATCAACCTGGAAACAAACAGGGATGATCCCAAATAATTCCAAGCAACAGAACCAACCTGGCTTGACAAAACAGCAGGTGGTAGGTTGGTAAAAAACCTCTGGTTCGGTTTTTCCAACCTGGGAAAACAACAACCAGGTTCAGGTCCTAAAAACAGAACCTGTTTTGTCTTTGCCCAAACAGCCAAATGCTGGTTCCGCTGGTTTCCCCTGGCTCTGTAGCATGCAGATACAGACAAACTATATCCAACCTACACCTAAATTGTACCCCTTTAGTGCCTGCCCTGCTACACTATAGTCAACCAAACAAAAAAGTAAAATTTCGAGTTGGATAGAACTAAATGTTCGCAATCGATTCAACCGAACTGCAAGGCTTCCATCTTGGGTTCCTTCGTGAGCTCGTCCTTTGTGCTTGCACTGTTCATGGCGCGTACAATGTTGTGTCGAAGCGCACATTGCGCGAGTACCTGCAAATGCATCAAGCAAAAATTGCGAAAGCAAACCAAACACATGAACATTCCATTCACACCCAAATGCATTCGCACATTGAGGAATGCCATTGATATATCCATCTGAATGATGAATTTCCCACTAACGGCTGCATCTGCCAACAAGATACGGAGGGTAGCGAGTTTGGCAGTGTGACCAAAGATCTCATTGAGGTCCTACTTCTCCTTCTGCATAAACCCCTTAGCCACCAGCCTTATGGTGACCTGTCCCTTGTCATCAGTCTTAATCCTTAGCACCGACTTGTACCGTACTGCTTTCTTCCCCTCAGGCAGCACCACCAGATTCCATGTCCCATTCTCTAGCAGGCTCTGGTACTCAGCATCCCTAGAAACCAGCCACTTCTCCCTATCTGGTCCAGCTAATGCCTCCTCCATGCTTGCTGGTTCCTCTGGTGCAGGGGCAAGAAAACAGTAGGTAGGTTCCTCCTCCTCATCCGGGACATAGACATGTAGTAGAATCAGCAATGCCTCCTCATTTCCAAGCTGCTGCTCTGCTACATCAGCTCATGCAGTCAGCTTCATAGTGGCTATACGGGTACGTCCTGGCCTAGACACGGGTGTCTCCCACCCCTTCATAACGACACCCTTTGGCTTCCTCCTTTGTGGTAGTATAGGAGCCTTAGCCTTGCCTTGCTGCTGCTCACCCTTAGGTCCAGCAGCTCCACTAGTGCTACCACTAGTCTCCACATCATCTCCTCCACCAGCAGGTGCCTCCTGCACCTTCTCTCCATCACCACCCTCTGCAGCTACCTCCTCTCCCTCCTCCCACACACTAGGAGTCAGGTCCTGCTGCATGGTGATCTGCTCCATCTCCTGTGATACCTTGGCCTCCGGCTGTTTGTTCCAGCCCCCATACATCAGGCCCTCAACAAAATTCACATCCCTGCTGTCAAACAACACACCCTTGGATGGTCCTACAGCAGCCATCCCTTGCTCTCAGCAGCCAGTCCCAAATGCACACACCAGATTGCACTCGCCCCCAACTTACTTCGATGCTTCTTGGGGACGTGGGCGACTGCCATGCAACGAAACACCCTCAGCATGTCCACCGGCGGCTTCCTCCCAAGCCACCTCTCCAGGGAAAACGGGTAAACTTTGAGAGCAAACATATTTCACAGTTATCATCGGGTGGCTGTCCGTTCAGCTTCAGACCCTTAACGGCTCCATCCTTCTCCAAGTGCTTCAACAAGGGCATTGCCAAATGCCCCAAGCGTTGGTGTGCCGTTGCCCAATCCGTCTCCCCAAATCTGGCCGACACTTTCACGCCAACCCCTCCAACGGTGTTCCACTCCCCCTGGGATGCAGACCCCTCTCTAGCCTGCCCCCCACCGTGCCATGCCAACGCCGGCAGCTGCCACATGGATCTGTACACATCCTTGCTCTCGTGCAGATCCCAAAGCACCTGATTGCCCAGCTGCCCCTTGTACGTGCGTGCCCCATCCGTGCTAGTGCTCACCCCAGCCTTGGCAAGCTTACAGAGGGAGATGAGGTTGGCCTTGAGGTCGGGGACGAGCACAACGTCGTGCAGTACCACCGGCTTGCCATCCGCTCCCTTTAACGCAGCTCGTCCCGCACCATCCACCTTCAGCGCGTGTCCAGAGGCGGAGCACACCTCGTTGATCAGTGCAGCTTGTACGTCGTCAAGCAGCTCCTTGCGCGGCGTCATCGTTGAAGCAGCGCCCGTGTCCAACACCCAATAGTCCAGGGGGTGCAGCTCTGCTCCAACCTTGGCAGAGGCATCTCCTTGCTCCCCTAGCTCTCCTATATGGAAGAACTGGCCCGCGGTGCGCTCCTTCTTCTCCGCACCGCCGTTGCTCTTTGGGTTGTTGTTGGACGAATCGGCGACCATGTTCGCGCCATTTTTCTGGTTCCTCCACGCGCCGCCATCCTGGTGACGATTCTGGAGGGTCCATCCATCGGGTTTCTTATAGCACAAAAACCAGGGGTGCCCCTCCTTCTCACAATACCAGCAACTCCCTTTCATTTTGCCACCAGCACCCAACTGTCAAACTTATATATAGCTTATATTGTGTAGGCTGTAGTGGGGTAGCCCATAAGGGGTACAACCCAATTAGGGTTAGTACCTGTACCCACCTCTTTGCTAGTTCATTCATTCTCGTTCGTTCTTTCTGACATGGTTTCAGAGCAGGTCCGTTCCTAGGACCGCTTCTTTTTTCTTGGGCCCACCACCTGCTGCCGCGCTACCCACCCTGTCACGGCCCCGCGGCCCCGTCGCCCTAGGTCCATGGCCCCTCGGCCTCCCGTCGCCTGTCGACCCTAGCACGGCCCCGTGGCCTCGTCGCCCTAGGCCCACGGCCCCTTGGCCCCCCGTCGCATGTTGACCCTAGCACGGCCCCGCGGGCCCGTCGCCCTAGGCCCACGGCACCTCGGCCCCCCGTTGCCCTTCGACCCTAGCACGGCCCCGCGGCCCCGTCGCCCTACGCCCACGGCCCCTCGACCTCCCGTCGCCCGTCGACCCTAGCACGGCCCCGCGGCCTCGTCGCCCTAGGCCCACAGCCCCTTGGCCCCCCCCGTCGCCCGTCGACCCTAGCACGGCCCCGCGGCCCCGTCGCCCTACGCCCACGGCAATTCGGCCCCCCGTCGCCCGTCGACCCTAGCACGGCCCCCCGTCGCCCGTCGACCCTAGCACGGCCCCGCGGCCCCCCATCGCCTGTCGCCCCTAGCACGGCCCCGCGGCCCCCCGTCGCCCACGACCTAGGCCCAAGGCCCCTCGGCCCCCGCCCCCCCCTGAGCTCCTGGCCCCGCGGCCCCGTCGCCCTAGGCTCACGGCCCCTAGGCCCCCCGTCGCCCACGACCTGTCGCCATGCGGCCTCTGTCACCCTAGGCCACCAGCCCCTCGGCCCCCAGCCCCCGTTGCTCCTGGCCCCGCGGCCCCGTCGACCTAGGCCCCCGGCCCCTTGGCCCCTTTGCTACTGGCCCCGCGGCCCCGTCAACCTAGGCCAACGCCACCCCCCCCCTCGGCCCCTTCTCACTAGGCCCCGCGGCCTGAAGCCCCTAGGCCTCCGGCCCCTCGGCCCCTTCTCTCCAGGCCCCGCGGCCCGACGCCCCTAGGCCTCCGGCCCCTCGGCCCCTTTACTAATACTGCTGCTACTGCTGCTCCTACTGCTACTACTGCTACAACTACAACTGCTACTGCTACTGCTGCTACTGCTGCTCCTGCGTGTTGCGCCACTATGGCTTTGCTTCGAGTTCTTGCGTTCGATCATCAGGGCAGACCGGTTCAGTTTGACACGTGGCTCGACGACCTGCAGCTGTACCTAAAGAGTGATTCTAAGGACAGTGTTTCGCTGTTTGACCTAGCATCAGGTGCCGCTCCTACCCCTCCCGCCACAGCTGACAGTGCGACTCGCTCACAGAGGCTTACTCGCGACGCTGCTGCCCACTTAGCCATTCGCAACCACCTGCCGTTAGCTGAATGCGCTCACTTCGGACAGCACAGGCCCTGTACGACGCTGTAGTTGCTCGCTACTCCTCGCCTGCCACTGCTGCGCTAGGCCGACTGCTGCTGCCCTACCTGTTCCCCGAGCTCTCATCTTTTGCCACAGTAGAGGACCTGGTTTCCCACCTGCGCACTAGCGACGCTCGCTACCGCGCTGCCCTCCCAGCAGAGTTCCTTGACAGAAACCCACCCCCGATGTACATCACTCTCTACTTCGTAGTCACTCGCCTCCCTGACTCCCTTCGCTCTCTCAGGGACCACTTTCTCTCCCTTGACCCTACCTCCCTCACTGTTGACCTTCTCGAGCAGCATCTCCTCGCAGCTAAGACTAGTGCAGTTGCTGTAGGTGCTGCTCGTGGCACTCCGCGTCCGCCCTTCTTTGAGGCTTGCTCCCCCTCCCCCCTTGCCCCCTCCTACGCCTTCTCTGCTGCTGCCGAGGTCCCTGTTGCTGAGGACGTTGGGGCTGCTTCTGCTAGTGCGAAGCGCCGCAACAGCAAGGGCAAGGGTGGCATGGGTGGTGGAGGTGGTAGCGGCGGTGGTGGAGGTAGCAGCGGGAGTGGTGGTGGGGGCAGCAGTGGAGGTGGTGGAGGCAGTGGAGGTGAAGGCGGCGTTGGGACTAGTGGCGGGAGTGGGGGCTCTGGTGGCGGCGGTGGCGGCAGCGGTGGGAGTGGCGGTAAAGGAGGTGGTGGGACTGGTAACGGTAGGACTGGACCTTGGCGTGGAGGCCCTGGTGGTGGCCAGCGGCAGCAGAAGCAGCGTCGGAGCGAGACCCAGTCGCCCTAGCAGCTCCGTGAGTGGTTGTTTCAGCGTGGGACGTCTGGGGGTAGTGAGAGCTACCCGTATGTCATTTGCACGGGTGTCCGTGCTAGCCAGACATGCGGGAAACTTCACACTGAGCACCGCTGCTTCTCGCGCCTCGACGACGCCTGGCGTGCCGATTTTGGTGACGACGTCGAGCGCCATCTTTGGGCGGATTCGCTTAGGTCTGGAGTTGCTATCTTTGACCTAGACTGTGATTCTATTCTTTCTGCTATGTATGCATTGTCTGCTAGTGCTGAGGGTGACTATTACCGGTATGTGCCACCTGACCCAGGTATAGCCGTTGCTGCTCTAGGTGCTAGTGAGACTGCTACTCTCCTTGGTACTGCGCCTGCTCAGGCCTTGCACACCTTCACGTTGGACTCAGGCGCCTCGCGCTATTTCTTTCGTGACAGCACCACCCTCACTCCTCTCCCTGCACCTGTCTCGGTCAGACTGGCTGACCCCTCCGGGGGCCCGGTCGTGGCCCGTTCCTCCACTGTCCTCCTATGTCCAGCGGTTGCGTCCGGCTCACTATCCGTTCTTCACCTCCCCTCGTTCTCTACGAACCTGGCGAGTACCGCTGCCCTCTTGGATGCGATGGTCACTACCACCACTCCAGGGGGTCAGCGTGTGTCAATCTGCACGTGCACACGGACGGGGCGTCACCTGGCCACGTTCACTCGGCGGCCAGGGTCGAGTCAGTACACACTAGCAACCGGGCCTCCTCAAGTAGCTGCATATGCTCAGGTGTCCGCGTCAGGTCAGGTAGCCGCCTCTTGCTCGTGTCGCCTCCTGTCGCACCAGACTCTTCTGTGACACCACCGCCTGGGTCACCCCTCCCTGCCACGCCTTCGTGGCATGCACTCCTGCCTTCTTATCTCTGGTCTACCCAGGTCTCTGCCTCCCCTCCCGCCTTCGCCTGCCCCGCCCTGCCTTCCTTGCGTCAAGGGGCAGCAGCGCGCCGCTCCTCACTCCTCCTCGTTTCCCTCAACGACTGCTCCCCTGCAGACTCTCCACATGGACGTGTGGGGCCCAGCCCGCGTCAGTGGACAGGGACGCGAGCGCTACTTTCTGCTGGTTGTTGACGACTACATCCGGTACACCACGGTCTTCCCCTTGCGTAGCAAGGATGAGGTCGTTGATGTCTTGATCCCTTGGATCTGCACAGTCCGTCTCCAGCTACGCGAGCGGTTCGGCCAGGACCTTCCTGTCCTGCGTCTGCACTCTGACAGAGGTGGTGAGTTCTCCTCCAACCTCTTGCGGGACTTTTGTCATGGGGAGGGCATTCTTCAGTCGTTCACGCTTCCGGACTCCCCTCAGCAAAATGGGATTGCTGAGCGCCGCATTGGCTTAGTCATGGAGGTCGCTCGTACCTCCATGATCCATGCGGCTGCTCCCCATTTTCTGTGGCCGTTTGCGGTCCGGTACGCTGCACATCAGCTCAACCTCTGGCCACGTGTCTCCTTGCCGGAGACCTCGCCATTGGACGGGGGAGGTTGGCGATGCGTCGGTGTTCCGGGTCTGGGATTCTCGTGCCTTAGTTCGCGATATGTCCGCGGACAAGCTCTCCGCCCGTGCAATCCCCTGCGTCTTCCTTGGCTTTGTCCCTGACGCGCCTGGCTGGCAGTTTTACCACCCCACCTCGCGCCGTGTCTTCCCTTCTCAGGTCGTCACGTTTGACGAGTCGGTTCCCTTATACCGTCTCTTCCCCTACTGCTCTGCCCCTCCCCCGCCCCCGACGCTCTCCCTTGCTCCCGGTTCTCCTCCGGTAGACCCCCTCCCGCCCCAGGAACCTGCTCCCTCGCGTGTGTCTCAGGTAGACCCTCTCCTTGGTACTGCGCCTGTTCAGGTAGCTGTCGGCTCAGGTGCTGCTCCTGGTACTGGGTCTGGGCGTGCTGTGTCGGGGGGTGCTGAGCCAGGGGGTGCGGAGTCTGAGGGTGCTAGGTCTGGTGGTGATGAGCTTGGGGGTGAGGAGCCTGGGGGTGTTGAGCCTGTTGGTGCTGATTCGGAGGGTCCGGAGTCTGGGGGTGCTGAGCCTCGGGGTGCTTCTTTTGTTAGAAGGTGAGCGAATGAATGACTGAACTAAAAAGCAGGTGGGTACATATAGGAAACCTAAAAGTGTTGTACCCAGTAAGGACTACCCCACTACAGCCTAAACAGACTACAGCATATATGTTTGACACACCCCCATAGGCAAAGTGGGGGAGAACAAGAGGTCACAAGACCAGTCAAGAAAGGCAAAGCAAGCTCAGGGTGGATCACAAAGTCACCACGCAGTCTGAGCATAAGCAAATGACCACAAGGCCAGTTCACATGTAGAGTTATATAAAAGAAAACAAACAATACAGTGAACACAACCTAGCAAGTGTTAGCATGCAAGTATATGTATAGAGAGTGAGGCACAGTAGGTACAAGGCCTAACATAGTACAGAAACGCTGATGATCACAAGGCTGAAGTGCCTTGGTGAAAACATCAGCAGTGTTGGCCTGAGAGGCCACGTAAGCAAGACGAAGCTGGCCACGCTGCTGCAACTCTAGAGCAAGGAAGTAGCGCAGAGCAATGTCCTTCGTTTTGTGCTCCAGTCTGTGCTCTTGACACAAGGCCAGCATGGCCTTGTTGTCGACGTACAGAACTGGAGGAGAACGAGGCGCCTCTCCCAAGTCGGTCAGCAGGTAGGTGAGCCAGCGTAGCTCCTGTGCAGCCATGGCCCCAGCGTAGATCTCAGCCTCACAATTGGAGCTGAGAACAGAAGAAGAGCGGGTAGACCGCCAAGAGACAGAACCGGAGCTAAGGCTGAAGGTGTAACCCTGTGACAACCGCTGCGTAGCCATGTCGTCAACCCAGGAGGCGTCAGCGTGACCAGTGAGGACAACTCGAGCCCGTCCTCCAAGCACGAGCCCCATGCCCGATGTACTGCACAAGTATCGCAAAACCCTCTTCGCAGCATCCCAGTGCACCTTTCGGTGCCTGCTGGGAGCCACGTAGCGAGCTAGAAGGCTGAGAGGGTATGCAAGGTCAGGTCGTGTGCAAGTCATCAGGTACATGAGGCAGCCCACAAGCTCTGGATACGGGCCACTCGGCTCTACGGACTCGTCCGAAGGTGGAGCTGAGAGCGAGTGACCGGTAGGCAAAGGAGTGGACTGTGGCGAGGAGTACATGAAGCCGAAGCGCTGAAGGACCTGCTGCACCATGTGTGACCGAGTCAAGGTAATGGTGCGCTGTGCTCTGTCCCGGGTGATCCGCAAGCCAAGATAGCTTGTCAGCTCACCCAGGTCTGTGCACGTGTGTCTCTTCTGCAGCTCGGACTTCACGTGGGCGAGTGCCTCAGTGTCAGCAGTAGCAAAGACGAGGTCGTCTACGTACACGAGAACGTAGAACGGCGGCAGAGTAGTGTCAGTGCGTAAAAACAGAGAAGGGTCAGAAGTGGAAGGAGCAAAACCAAGAAGAGCAAGAGTCGTCCTGAGTGTGTCGTGCCACTCACGGGGTGCCTGGCGGAGACTGTAGACTGGCCGCCGGAGGCTCCAATGGGTACCAGCAGGAAACGACCCAGTGAAGCCAGGTGGGTGGCGCAGCCAGATCTCCTCGTGCAGGCTGCCCTGTAGGAAGGCTGTGCTGAAGTCAAGCGAGTGGAGCTCGTAGTCAAGCTGAGCAGCAACGTGCAGCAGTACCTGAAGAGTGGTCATCTTTAGGGTAGGGGAGAAGGTCTGAAAGAATTCAACTCCCTGTCGCTGACCGAAGCCACGTGCAACGTTACGCGCCTTGAAGGCGGGCGGAGAACCCGGCGGCCGCTTCACCCTGAAGATCCACATGCCACTGACGATGTTCGCCCCAGGTGGGGGAACCTCGTCTACGTAGGTGCTTGTGGACTTCCAGGAAGCCATCTCGGCGTCCATGGCTGCCTGCCACTGAGAGGAGTAGGGACCCTCTCTCGCCTCTGCGTAAGAGCGCGGGGTCGGGATGTCTGGTGCATCCGGGTCTCCCTCAGGGGCAAGCAGCATGGACACGAGATGAGGTACAGAAGCAGCAAAGCACTCAAACTCCTCCTGTCTGTCCTCAAGAACGTCCGTGCCAAGAGCACACTCACCCCCGACGGACGGAGGACAGACAGACGCAGACGCAGACTCAGCAACAAGGCTAGTCGCGAAGTCTAGGCGACAGGTAGCAGCAAAGTCAACAAGCTCAGCAACGAGAGCAGACGCAGTAGTGGACTCAAACAAAGGGTTAGTGACAGCAGTGGCCAGAAAGCGCGTGACAGCCGGACAAGCAGCACGGAGGGAGTCAGACGCAGGGTCCGGACCGGCAGGAAGAGAGGACGCAGGAGGAGAGGGCAGAGGGACACGCTGTGGAGCAGTGGAAGGACGCAGAGTCATAGAGTGGGTGCCAGCGACAGGAGGAGGACGCGGACGCGAAACACAACCAGCGCGAACAGAACGAACATGCGACGTAGAACGAGACACAGGCGACACAGGACGCGACTCAAGCTCACGACGCTCCGTAAGACCTCTAGTCGGTCCAGAGTAAGGAGAAGGACCAGGCAGCGGAGAGGCCGGCTGTAACTGCGACTGAGACGGGACAGGCGGTGGACTCAGGGAAGGAGGAGGAGGACAAGGAGAAGGCGGGGAGCCAAGAACCTGCTGAAGAAGCTGAACGTAGTACGGCCGCGGCCGCACAGCGCCTCCAGAAACAGCAGAGACAGAACCGGTACCCTCAGCCCCAGGGTCTCCAGTCCCAGCAGCACCTCGAGCAGCTCCAGCATTAGCAGCACCTCCAGCACCAGCAGCACCTCCAGCAGCTCCAGCAGCACCTCCAGCACCAGCAGCACCTCCAGCAGCACCTCCAGCACCAGCAGCACCTCCAGCAGCACCTCCAGCACCAGCAGAACCTCCAGCAGCACCAGCACCAGTAGCACCTCCAGCAGTACCTCCAGAAGCACCAGCAGCACCCCCAGCACTAGTAGCACCACCAGCAGCATCAGCACCAGCAGCACCTCCAGAAGCTCCAGCAGCACCTCCAGAAGCTCTAGCAGCACCTCCAGAAGCTCCAGCAGCACCTCCAGGAGCCCCAGCAGGACCTCCAGTAGCTCCAGCAGCACCCCGACAGCGCCGAGAGTACCAGTCACGAAGCTGCTGTGGAGAGAGAGGCTCCCGCCGTGGCGGGACACCGAGAGCACCTGCGGACGCAGTACGCGCAGGCTCAGCACCTCCAGACACAGCACCCTCAGGCTCCACACGCCCAAGCTCAGCACCCCCAGGCTCAGCACGCCCAGACTCAGCACCCCCAGACTCAGCACCCCCAGTCTCAGCACCTGAGTCGACAGCTTCCTCGACTGGCTCGGCAGGGTCTACCTGGGACACACCTGAGGGGGCAGGACCCTGGGGGGGGAGGGAGTCTACCGGGGGAGTACCTGGTGCGAGGAAGAGCGGGGGGGGGGGGGGGGGAGAGGCAGTGCAGTAGGGAAAAAGACGGTAGTACGACACCGACTCGTCAAACGTGACGTCCTGAGAGGACAGTACATGACGCAAGGTGGGGTGGTAGAACTGCCAGCCGGGTGCGTCAGGAGGGAAGCCAAGGAAGACACAGGGAACGGCACGGGAGGACAGCTTGTCCGCTGAAGTATCGCGGACAAAGGCTCGAGATCCCCAGACACGGAACGCGGACGCATCGCCAACCTTCCCCGTCCACCGCAGAGTAGGTGTGGTCTCCGGCAAGGAGACACGAGGCTGAAGGTTGATCTGATGCGCAGCGTACTGAACCGCGAACGGCCACAGAAAATGGGGAGCAGCCGCATGGATCATGGACGTACGAGCGACGTCAATGACCATGCCAATGCGGCGCTCAGCAATCCCATTTTGCTGCGGGGAGGCCGGAAGCGTGAACGTCTGGCGGATGCCCTCAGAACGACAGTAGGCTCTCAGGAGGTCGGAGGAAAACTCCCCACCTCTGTCTGAGTGCAGACGCAGAACAGGAAGGTCTGAGCCGAAACTCTCACTAAGCTGGCGACGAGCACCGCGGATCCAGTCGATCAACACCTCAGGGACCTCACCCTTGCTGCGCAAGGGGAAGACTGTGGTGTAACGCGAGTAGTCGTCAACTACCAGCAGGAAGTAACGCTCGTGACCCTGTCCACGGACGCGGGCTGGGCCCCACACGTCCATGTGAAGAGTCTGCAGAGGGGCCTCTGTCGGAGGAAACGAGGAGGAGTGAGGAGCGGCGCGCTGCCGGCCCTCGACACAAGGAACACAGGTGGGGGCAGGCCCCGGAGGAAGGGGAGGGAGGGACCTGGGGAGTCCAGAGACAAGAGCACGGGAGGCCATACCTCGAAGACGAGGCAGGGAGGGGTGACCAAGGCGGTGGTGCCAAAGGAGAGTCTCGTGCGACAGAGGACGACACGAGCAGGGGGCAGACGCAGGACTAGACCTGGACGCGGCAGCGAACACCTGACTAGACGTAGCTACCTGACCAGACGCAGAGACCGGAGGAGGCTCAGTAGTCAGTGTGTACAGTCTCGACCCTGGCCGACGGGTGAACGTGGCCAGGTGACGGCCCGTCCGAGAGCAAGTGCAGTGGGTCACACGCTGACCTCCAGGAGTGAACTGGTCAACCCACGCGTCCTGGAGGTCAACTCCACTCACCAAGTTCGTAGAGAACGACGGGAGGTGGAGTCCCGACAGCAAGCCCGACGGGGCCGCAGGACACGGCAGAACCGTGGAGGAGTGTGCAAGGACTGGGCCCCCTGAGGGGTCAGCCAGGGAGACCGCAACAGGCCGACTG